GGCCCCCCCCCCCGCCCTTTTTTTGCAACCCCTCAGAAAGAAGACACCTACTAAGAAGGGCTCCTGGAGGCCAGTTGGGCTCAGATGTAAAAGCAACAGCCGAGCAGCCATTCCTGCACACGGGCCTCATGCAAAACTGCACGTCAGCGCTCAGAGGCCTGCACTGAACTGTCTGCTGCGCTGGGTGCCTGCAGGTCCCGGAAATCCCATTCAGACCAATAGGACTGAGGCTCTCCTGTCCAGAGGGAGACGCACAGCTCTGGCTTACCTAGTAGGTGTCAAAGAGTCTTCACCCAGCAGCAGGCATCTCGATGCCCTCTAGTCCTGTTTCTCTTCCTCCTTGGCACAGCTCCGCCTGTGGGCACCGTGTGCAGCTGTAGCAAACGGCATTTCTGCCCTGTTGCCAGTTTTAGAAAGAAAGTCTGCATGGCTTAGTAGAAGGGAGCTCCGTGCGCCTGAATTCCAGCCCTGGCGCTGCCGCATAGCCTGTGCCTTTTCTCGGCCTCAGTTTCTAATCTGTGAAATGAATCTTCCCTTTCCTTACAGTTCTGCAATTCTTCTAGGAGCTCATGGGTTGAAACGGAATTCTTCAGCGTTTTCCTTTACACGTATCTTTTAGAGTTTAAAATTATTAGAAAAATACTGGGTCACTGAAGCATTTTGAAATAGTATTTGCAAACTTTGTATTTCTCTTCATACCCAAAAGTATAGCCTTAACCATAACCCAATTTCCAAATGTTTTTTTCTTTGCTAAAGTTAGTGAATGCTGAACATCCACATTTGGATTATGTAATCTGGTCCAATGACATTACCATAAATACTGTTATTATAAAAATCTCAATATTACAGAAAAAATTTGGGGCTCTAACTATTAGCCCATATCTTTAAAATATGAAACAACTTTCACATGAAAAGTAGGCTTTTAGTATTTGTTGTGCTGAGATCTAATTCTGAATCAAACATTCTATGATCCTCTGAATATATTACATTTATAACAAAGCTTTGAAGCTTGGAAATTTAATGACTAAAACCTTACTGGACTCCTGAGGCTGCTCTTTTCTTAAAACTCTTTACGGGGTGGCAGCTCACCTAGTATAATAGATGAAGGGAGTGTGCCCGCTTGTGCAATGGTGCTCATAGCATCCAGAAGTCCCTTTCAGTCATAGCTCATAGAAACAGACATTTTCTTTTTAAAATACTTTTAAAAATAAGTTTATATGTTTTTTTTATTTCAGAGAGAGGAAGGGAGAGGGAGAGAGAAACATCAATGATGACAGAGAATCTTTGATCTCATTGATCGGCTGCCTCCTGCATGCCCCCTATTGGGGGTCGAGCCCACAACCCAGGCGTGTGTCCTGATTGGGAATCAAACTGTGACCTGGTTCATGGGTGGAGGCTCAACCACTGCCCCACGTCAGTCAGGCAAACAGACATTTTCTAAAATTGCGGTGGTTCCACTCCGTGGCTAGCAAACTTAGATTCGACGGAGACCTCTAGGCTGTGAGCAGCAGTAGTTCCAGTAACTGTCTCACATTTCCAGGATCAAGATTAAGGGAAGTAACTTTTAATAACACTGACAGCAGCCACAAATATGTTCTGAGGACTATATAGCAAAGAAATGACAGGTGCGTTTGGGCTGTATCTTCCCTGGTTGGTTCACATTTGAGAATCCCCTTGGGGAAAAAGAGAGGGAGACAGAAGCATCTCTGACGCAGAGCAGAGCCCAGGAGTGTTCTCTGTGCACACTTGTCCGGCAGGGCCTTGGGGTGGAGGGTGAGGGTTGAGGGTGAGGGTTGGGGGGGGGGGCTGTGTAACCTGTGGGGCTGGTGGCTCAGGGCTGCCTGGGCTTCCTTTCCGAAATGTCTGTTCACTTCACGCTCCTTGGGCAGCCTCTGCGGCCCTCAGATGCAGAGCTGGTTCTGCCCACAGGAGCCCCAAAGTGCACTGGGGCCTTCAGACCCCTCTAGCAGGAAGCCAGCCTGGCCTTGGGGAGGGTCCCAGCCAAAGGGCAGGGAGGGCAGCTCTCTCCCCAGAAAGCACACCCTGGGGATCAGCGAGCTGACTTTTCACTTAGGGTGAACTTTTATCTCGTTATCGGTGGAAATGATTTCAGATCTCACTGTTTGGGGATCACTTAAACATTTGAGGGTAAAGTTGATGGTGAATTTTGCGACATGTTCACAGCGAACTCCAGCTCTGGCTCTCCCTCCTCACTCCGCTGGAGTCTGACCTGTCATCTTTGCCCTGCTGGCACGTGCTTAGAAAGCAAACAGTGAATTTGATGCTGTATTTCAGCCAGACAAGTTGGCAGTGAATAGGGGCTTTGAGCACACTGCAACATGAACGTGCTTTTCCAATGGACAACGTAGCGCTGCTGATGCAGACAACGGGGTTAGACCAAACTGATCCACCGAAGGCTTTCCCTCCTGTGCCCTTGGTTTCTCAGAGGGGATGCTGCAAGCTGTAGGCTATGAAGTCTGACAATAACCCAAAAGGGAATGAGGGTGGAGCTGGGAGGAATTTGGTAACGCGGTGTTTTCACGTGAACTTCTTGTTTAAAGCGAATGCAGCCCTGAGGATTTGGCCACTGCGTATAACAACAGGGGGCAGATCAAGTACTTCAGGGTTGATTTCTACGAAGCCATGGAGGACTACACGTCGGCCATAGGCGTCCAACCCAATTTTGAAGTTCCCTATTACAACCGAGGGTTGATCCTGTATAGGCTGGGTAAGACTCTTTCTCCTTGGGCCCTTAGTTGTCCTGGCTGAATTGGGAGCTCCTGAATGTTGTAAAACGAATGTAATGGTCGTTAAGTCTTAGAAGTGATGTCTAATTTAGGTCTGGAGCCTGGAACAGAGGGATCGTTCTGAGTTTATTTTGAGCTTTCAATAGGCATTATAGACCACAGCGGCACGCGGGGGTGGGAATTGGGCGTGGGCGCGGAGAGGGAGGGCGACCCCATTACTTTGTGCCTGTAACATCCCCAAAGGCGAATGGAGGGTAATGCTGGTGATCACCTGCGAACGTTTTCTGAGTTAAAATCTTTGAGGGCACACGAGACGAGGTAAAGTGAAGGAGTTTTAAATGCTTGGAATCAAGGCACTGGTTCTTATTGTAGAGGGTTAAAAAGAATATTTCCTGTTGCCTGATTTTACTGTAATTATCTAAAACAGGTGATATAACTTTGTTGAGATTTCATGATGGTTTATGCTATTTACCTGTTAAATCCTAATAAGTAAACCCCTAGCTAAATTTAAGTATTGTTCTAGAAGGGCAGACACAATTCTTTTGGTGTAGACATTCCTATATCATTATTAAGAGGAAAAATTTCTTCAGTAGAAGGGGTTGAAAGCTCATAAATATAAAAGCATGTGTATCCTAACTTTGCTGTGAATTATGTAAGAAAATACTCAGCTGTTTCTCTCTCCCATTTTTTTTTTTTTTTTGGATTCTGGTACAGGATACTTTGATGATGCCTTGGAAGATTTCAAGAAAGTATTAGACTTAAATCCTGGATTTCAAGATGCGACTTTGAGCTTAAAGCAGACTATGCTAGACAAAGAAGAAAAACAAAGAAGAAACTATTGAAAAATTGAACTTTGAAACATTAATTCATGATCCATACAGCTGGCGTCTCACTGTCTCTAGTGTAAAGTAGGTGTTGAGTGATTTTTATTTATATTTAAGATAAAAAGCTTCATACATGAGCACTAAAAGTTAAATAGTTGGTTTAAGGTAGTTAATTTCAGATTAAGTATTTATATTGAATAGGTATGCTTTTTATAAAGTATAAATAAGTAACAACAATGTATAATTATATGTGTTCACAGTAAAATATGTAAAGAAATGTGTGATATTTTTAGTAAAATAATTTTTTGCTATATTTTTAGTCCCAATTTTTTAATAAAATTTATATCTATAGAAAATTTGGAGTATAAAATAGTAAACACTCTTTAGATTCACAAGTCGTTAAAATTTTCACACTTGCTTTTTCTCTATATTTAAATATATAACTTTTTGCTGAACCATTTGAAAATAAGTTGCAGACACCATAATGCTTTCCCACTAAATATTTTAGCCTGCATCTTCTAAGAATAGAGACATCCCCCTTTATAGCCACAATGCCATTATAATACCTAATAAAATGAACAGTTCTATAATGTAATCCGTACCCGGCCTCAATTCTAACTTTACCAATTGTTTCCAAAATGCATTGTGTAGATTTTTATTCCTGGATCTGGAGTCAATCAAATTACATTGCATTTTGTTATGTCTCTTTGAGTTCTTAAAAATTTTTTTTTCTTATTGTTGACTGTATTACAGATGTCCCCAATTTTCCCCACCTTTGCTCCCTTTCTCCCCACCCCTGCCCTACCCCAGGCCTTCATTCTTTGAGTTCTTTTAATCTAGAAGAGTCCCCTGCCCATGTTCTCCCCGTGGCATTAGCTTTGAGAGCAGAGCTATTTTATGTAGCGAGAAAGAGAGATGTATCATGTGGGGTTAAAAATAAACAAATGTCCTACAGGAGAGGGATTTGAAAGAATTCAACTTCCACTGACTTTCTCTAGAAATCACTGATAAGGTTAGGTTAGGATTTAAATATTGAACATAATTTTCTGTCTGCGGATAATGACTGTACTTATGGTCATCATCAACATTTACTGAACCCTTACTAAAAGTCAGGCACTGTTCAGACTCTTCGCAGAATAAATTGGGAGGGGAATGGAGAGGGATGGGGAGGCGAGGAGCTGACAGAAGCACTTAGTAAATATAAAGCTGTAAAGAATCTGTTTTGTTTGGGCGCTGCCTTCAAACGAGTGGGCGTGAGGAAGCTGAAGGGAGAGCAAGCCAAAGGCAGCCCTGCCATCTACATTTTTAATGTTTTTATTATTGAGGTTTGGTTTTCAAAGATGCCGCTCCTGCATCCTGGGATCTCGCAAGCTGGTTTGTTATTGTTGTGGAGAGCCTTTAGGGGCGGAAGTGGCCTGATTGGGAGGAAGGCGCAGAGGAACTTCTGTGGCTTTCTCCTTGCAATCACCACCATCCATCAGCCTTGGAACTTCTTACATTTTATTTTATTTTTGAGTTTAAGGGATCTCATGAAGCAGAAATAATCACCCAGTTTGTAGTTAATAAAGAACATCTGGCAAAATACATGGAGAATTTGGGCTGTAGGTGGATGAATATTAAAAGGAAACGAGGTTTGAAAGGAAACGAAAAGTCTCAATATTTCTGGAATTATTCACATTTTCCAATAGAATTTATCTTTCCATTTGTTATAAAAGAAGGTATAAGGTTACATTAAGATGTACAAAACCCCCCTTAAGAACACTTTCATTTAAAAAGTAAGGTCCTGCCGGACTGGCATGGCTTGGTGGTTGAGCATCGACCTATGAACCAGGAGGTCATGGTTGGAATCTCGGTCAAGGCACATGCTCAGGTTGTGGGTTTGATCCCCCACAGTAAGGGGCATGAAGAAGGCAGCCGATTAATGATTCTCTCTCATCATTGATGTGTCTATCCTTCTCTCCCTCTCCCTTCCTCTATGAAATCACTAAAAACATATTTTATAAAAAATATATTTTATTGATTTTTCACAGAGAGGAAGGGAGAGGGATAGAGAGTTGGAAACTTCAATGAGAGAGAAAAATTGATCAGCTGCCTCCTGCACACCTCCTACTGGGGATGTGCCCGCAACCAACGTACATGCCCTTGGTTGGAATTGAACCTGGGACCTTTCTGTCCACTGAGCCAAACCGGTTAGGGCTCACTAAAAACATATTAAAAAAAATAAAATAAAAAGCAAGGTTCCTAGACCCTGGGGGAGCTTCAAGCCATTCTACCCAGAACATCAAATACTTAAATAATGCTTTGTAGCTATTTTTTCTTGGATCATATTCTCTTTTTCCTATTCCTGACGAGGATCAGATATAATATGAAAAAACAAAAAACAAAAACCCAACAAAAAACAAAAACCCAAGAAATTTCATTTGGGTTTTTGAATTTGTTACTCAATGTTTCTCCATCCTTTATCAGAAAAAAATAATTTAGTGAAGTTCACAGTCAGCACTTCCTGGTTAGAACCCAGACACTTTTTTCTCTTAAGTTATTTTTTGTCTCAAGTTATTGGCACTAACTAAAGAATAATATTTTCATCGTTTATCTTCTTCAGAATTTTAGGCATTAGATATTCCAATTCTAAACTTCTGATTGACCAAGTAATACCTTTGGAATATGCCTTAAAGATACTCTTCTAAGTTTGCTGGCGTTCAGATTGCCCACATTTCATTTTCTACTAGAAAAGCACCCAAAGTCCATTGTTTTCCAGTTTTTCTCTCTGCAAAAACAAGGCTGAAAATTCTGGCTTATTACAAGGTTCCTCTTCCACAAAATAAGGTAAGAGAGACCAAGTGGCTTTAAGTTGCTTTTTAGCTTAGAAAATTAGTCCTAACTCTTCAGCATGCAGTTTTTATTTTTTCCTTTCCTGAAATCTGGAGCTGAGTAAAGCCAGTTGATAGCAAACTATGGTCCAGCTGGTGAGATAGCAAACTGTATTCCAGGTCAGCTTTCGTCCTGGTCTTATTGCCTTTTCTAAAACTTGCCTGGTTTTTTTTTTCTGTCTTTCACTGGCCTCTCTACCCTCCTACACCATCCATCATCTTGGCCCCTCCCCGTTTGCAGGCTCACGTCTTTCTCAGCAGACAGACTCTATTTCAGCTCTGCCACCCAGGGCAAATCAGTTCAGTGTTAACACTGATACTCATCTCCACATCAAACTTAACTCTATGCTTCCAGCGATTAAACCCATCTCTTGCTTAATTCTTTAACCTGTCCCTGAAAATACTTACGCTAAGTCAAAAGTCACTGAGTGAAGACATATTTCCAATACGTTTTAATTGGAAAAAATGATGAATTCCGTTTAGCCCGAGATACCAAATACTTTTTACAGACATAAGAACAGATCAGTGGAGCAGTGAAGACAGTTTTACATAAGGAACAGCAATTTGAAATGATAATGTTTACAGCCATCACATCAACTATAATGACTTGAGTGTTTACTCATCTTTTTCTTTTTTTCTGTAGCATTAAAAAAGCTTTATGGAGGTACAATTCACATATACAGTTCACCCATTAAAAGTGTGTAATTCAGTGGTTCTAAATATATTCAGAGTTTCTGTATTTTTTAAGCTTTATGGGTCTCATAGCCTTCCTGCAGGCAAACTGTATTTAATGAAGGTATTTCAGGCAAATTTAAGGCTAAATGGGAGAGTGCTTCAAAACACCCGACCACACACACACACTCACACACACACACTCCAGTTTGATTCCTGTGAGAACCTCTGGTTAGAAATAGAAACTTGTGTTCCGTGTCCCTCTGAAGCTCTGACGTTGTAATATTTCTTCTTATGGCACATTTATTTAATGTATTTGAATGAACAGGTTGTTTATAAAAACAAATTGTTGACAAACGCCTGGTTTAGTTTTTTCAAGAGGCAAGTGAAGAACGAATCAGCAGTGGGCTATGTGAGATCAGTGTGTAATTTTACAGCTTCTACATAATTTCACGTTTTGGTGTTTTCTGTATTTCTGAAAAAACACGACAGTAAATTATGAGAGACGGATTCCAGTTAAAAATGGCATCAAGTCAGAGCGGGGGAGAGATTTGTTAAAAGTCATAGCGAATGCTAGGGGTCATCAGAAGACCATCACGTTCTTTACAGAAAGGAAAGAAGGACGAGAAACACAATTTAATTTTGGAGGTAAAACAAAGCGATCGGTAAGATTTAAAAAATAGCTTATGCTTTTTAAAATCACAAGAAGGTAAAGTACACACCCACATAGCGAAAGACAAATGATCAAACACTGAGACCTGCAAGGAAGTCCAACAGCAG